GTTTATCCTCAGGGCACTTTTTCCCAGGTCCCAGATACTCCCTACAGCCTGGCATACACCATATCCCATGGGTGTCATCCTCACTCAAATCCAATGGCCTTCAAGCTGAACTGTGCCCCACACTTCTCTGTCCTCCTCCCCTCCATCAATCAGCCAACCCCCCCCCCCCACCCCCACCCCCACAAACACACACCACAGACTTGTTTCCTGGTTTAGGTTTTGGTTACTAGAATCCAAAAGGGAAGTACAATGCCACCCAATTTTGCAAATCTCAGGATAAGCTTGTGTGGCACCCTTAATCATACCACAGCTACTTTCTGAACAGTATCTTTTTACAAAGAAAGTGACAATGTCATTGAAAGGGCGAGGGCTATGCCCTCCATCTTGCCCCGTATCCTCCATGTTGGGGCAGTAGCCATGTGCTCAGGAAGGTACCTTCTTCCCGGAGGCCCAGGCCTCTGCTGGCCACGCCCGGGATTTCTTTAAACTGACCAATGACAATCAAAGGATGTGCGGGCCATAGCCTGTGTAACAAGACCCGACTTGCGCCTGGCCAATCGGCAGGGCCCACGGTCATCTCTCCTCCCCTCACTCCACCCCCCTATTAAAACCCCATTTTTTCCCACGGACGGTCTCTCTCTGCTCTTGCCGTTGCGTCGGAAGAGGCTGGGAGCCAGACCCGGGGCCGTAATAATAATAAAGGACTCTCTGCTTTTGCATCGGACTTGGCTGGCTCCCTGATGGTCTATTGGGGATCTTGAAATCTGGGCATAACAGTCATGTGCCAGAAAGGGGGCAGACAGTAGAGGGCAGATCATGTTTTAATTTTACCTAAAGGAAAAGGAATCAGGTTTGGCCCTGTAATATGGGAATCTTCAGAACACAGGGAACACACAGAACTATTGACGTCTGGAAGACTTAAACTCTCCCAACAAGATCTTATGGGTTAAGTACATTCATTCTGTTAGGTCGGAGAGAGCCCAGGATCGGATACATGCAGACATGTGACGAGATAATGGACTCCCCCTGGCATTTCTAACAGATCAGTGTGCCAGACACAGATACTGACTCCTTCCTGAATACCTTGCTGACCCCCCTGCAGCGGGAACTTCCTTAGCTGAATACCTCAGCTCATGTCCCCGCCCCTCACCCAACCGCAGTATAAAAAAAGCGGCCCCCTCCCTGTTGGCGTGAATCCACGTGCCCTGTCTTTGGGGTACGTGGGTCTCCCGGGGACGCAATAAACCTTTTCCTTTTCTTTCTTTACTGATTCACTGGACTCTCTTTATTTCTTACGCCGCCTCCTGAGCCACCTAACCTAACACATTCTAACTATACCAGGGAGGGAACACACTCGATTGCACTGGTAAGGGGACACCAATCAGGCTATGGTATCTGAGACATTTACAGCTGTTTTCCCCTCCAGGATCGCAATTCTAAATGAAAACCAACGTTCTGCCCTCAAGTCAAAAGTATCTGGTTCCTTATCTGCGTATTTTGAGACGAAGACCAGGTAAGGGGTCAGTCAGAGGGGCTGGGAACCAGTTACAAGTAGGAGTTGGAGGTGTGTGTGGGCCCGAGACAGATGAAAACTCAGTCCACGCCAAAGATCAACCCCACTCCTTCATTCACAACTATTTGGGATTCCCACTCATCATAGGAATTAGGGAAGCCCCCAAGACGAAACACTTAAATTTAAATGAATGTTTAGATCCCTCCTTCCTGATTATTTTCTAAGGAGCTGGGTTAGGAACCTGACAAAAGGACTTTGCCCCGAACATTAGATACAGCTGGGGCCCTCCAGCCCTGAGGCTGAGCCCATCATCAGTACAGAGCTCCCCGTGTGCAGGGCCCCTGCCTGCCATGGTAGTTTCCAAGTACCCTCAGCCATCAAATCAACTTGGCTCGCCTAGAGGCACTGAGCTCCTTACCACACAAAGTTCCTTCGAGTAGGAACGACGACTGTCCGTTTTCAGTGTGAAATAATTAGCAACCAGGACCTTCCAGCTCCACCTTCAGTGATAAAAATACCCCACTGGCCACATGCAGCTCTTGGGCACTTGAAATACGGTGAGTGCCCAACTGAATTTAAATTCTATTTGACTGAAATAGCTACATGCAGACAGCACAGCTCTAGACTGACCTTGCAAATCCCATGCCCACAGGCAGGTAGGTGTAGGGGGAGAGACTAGGCAAGGAGCACTGAGCCACAGGAAAGCAGCAGAGCTCCTTGGCTCCAGGTGGCTGGTGCTGGGTAGGAACCTCAGGCTGGTGCTGCCACATTATCTCATTTTTCAAATGAAGCGGAAAATCTGGATTTCAATGTCCAATTTTTATTTTAAAAAATTTTAATATTTGAACCAAACTGACAACATGCTGGGGAGCAAGACCTCAAATGCCCAATTTTTAAAAGTTAGTAAGTAAATTTAAAAATTAATTTAAGTCACGTTGTGGCTGAACAATGGCAGGCAACATCTGTCTCGCCAGTGAGCAGCTGTATGTGGCCAGCCTCTCCTGCTCAGACGGCAGGGCCTCTCCACAGCCACGGTGCGGCCACCGCAGCTCTTCCTCGGTGTCGCGGCAGATCCGAGACTGAAACCCAGGCCTTCCCAGTCTTCTTCTGGTTTTAGGAGACTGGCCACATCTAGATTTCGGCGGCGGCAGCAGGGACAAAAGCCCCTGCAGAAGCAGCTGGTCTGTGGCTGGCATCTTAGGAACACTGTTCTGACCTCGCTAGAGCCACATGGTGAGCCCTTTGCGTCAGGCTGTCTCTCCACTAGGAGCCAGCAGGACACAAAGACTAGTCCGAGGGGGAGACAGACATATAAACAAGCAAAGCCAGGTTTGCTACAATGGACACAAATCGCGTGGGCACAAGTCCCAAAGCACAGCGCCAGGGGAGGGAGGGGAAGCAGAAGCTGCTAGTGGTGGATGAGCCCCACTGACTAGGAGGGTGGGCCCCATTTTCCCAGAATATTAAGGGGGCCTCCTTGTCTATGTCAGTTTCCTTCGCAGGCTTCTTCTCTGGGTAATCTCTAAATGGAAAGAGCCCCCAGGAGGCGTGTAGGAGCCCAGGCCATCTAGAAATAAGTCCCTACTTGTATTGATTGTCTCTATGCCTTCCCCAGACCTGCAAATCCAACTTCTCAACATCTTCACCTGGATGGTTAATCTTAGCCAACCCAGTATGTTCCAGGAGAGCTTGGGGTTTCCCACCCACTGTTTTCCCTCTCCTGTACCCCTGACCGCCAGTCCCGAAAGTCTACTTCCAAAATACTCTGCGCCCCTCCGAAGACCCCCCCAAAGAGGGGTACCTTTGCCATGATCGCTCTTAAGCTCCAAGGGCCCTTCTTTTGTCTCTGTAACTTTTAAAATAAATGTTCTCTTTTAAACACGCAAAAAATGCGCTGTGAATTTAACTCTCCATTTCCACTGCAACTCAACACTGCCTGCCCCTCTCCCGTGGCTGCCGGCCTCCGCCTTCTCTACCCAGCAGCCACGAGTGATTTCCGAACATCTGGGTCACTAGGACCACGGCACCCCTTCCTAACCCTCCGGGGCCATACACAGACCTGACCCTGCCCACGGCTGTCCGACCGACCTGCTCCTTCCCCACCGACCCTCTGCCAAGGGCTCCGCCGCAGCCCCTGCCCGCCTCCGGCTCCCTCCTCCGGCCCCTGCCTGCTGCTTCCCCTAGAAAGCCCTCCGGCCAGCTCCCGCTCCTCGGACCCGCACAGCCGGCCTCCTCCGAGCCACCTCACCCGATGTGGAGCGCTCCCCTCCCCACCAGCCCATCGGGCATCACTGTCGTCGGGGGCGCTCGCTCGCTGGCATCTTCCTTATTGATCTACTTTTTAACTTTCTCTCGGACTCGAATAAAAAGTCGCGGAGCACAGCCCTGCGGCGAACGGTGTTACGGCGCAGGCTCTCGCTGCCTAGAA